ATATTCACGAACTTGTATATGAACATACGCAGTATGTTCTATTATGTTCTAGGAATATGCTATGCATGTTCAAATGATGATTGGTGTTTCTGGGCGCTGCTTGCTATGGGCGCGTTCCGTTTCGCATTATTTTCGCACCCAGCCAATCAGAATCCAACCAACAGCCACGTCGCGACGAGTTCGTCACATAACCTGAATTTTGTCAAACATCGTTTGAGAACGAACAAAGAAAGAAGGGTGAAAACGTGCTTGCTGAGAAGAGTTATCAATTTGATTATATATGCAGTGTGGAGTATATAAACATATTGTTCGAAACGACACATCGCGTCGCCAACAATTAAGTAGGGATCGTTATTTTTCGGCGATCCCTATTCCGCGTTTTGTTAGATCCTTGTCATGAGTCTCTCTCTCTGGCCGTTTTCTAGAAACATCTACGGAGCTCTTTGTCTCCACACAAGTCAACGACCCGTGTTATTGTTTGCGAGAGAGAGACTCATGGCAATAACAATTACCGGCAAGTTTGTCAAAACTCTCTGCCTCCGATCTAACGGCCCAGACCTGCGCACCCATGGTGTCAGCCTCGGAGCGCCAATCCACGTGTTTGATCGGGGCCCGCTCGGGCTGACTCTCGAAAGGCGATGCGCGGGCCAATTAAGAATTGCGATCTCCGATTTTGTGTGAAGGTCTAGCGTGTACCTCGCTAATTGACGATCTGTAACTTTACGCGACTCGATAAAACCAGCTGTCGCTGGAAATTCAGAGCCTTTTCTTCTAGTTTCGACGACGAGTAAAAAGTAGAATTTTGAGTGAGAGTCTTAGAGCGTGGTACGGTTTCGATTTCGCCCCTTTTGCGGTCCGTGTTCAACGCCGAACTAATATTCCGGTGACTCTGCAACGTGTGAGCATTAACTTTGTATTTTATATTAAAGTATGATTTGTGACTACTGAAAACTTTAAATCAGATTTATTATTTTCTAGAGTAAATAACATCAGGTAAACTTGGGTAAATTATTTTATGGAGGAAAGAAACTATTTATGTATGTTTGCGTTCGAGCCATGATAACCGGGCGCGGTGGTCAGCGGACCAAAAGGGGCAACCAACATTGCGAGCGACGCCCGGGGCACGCGGGGGGGGGGGGGCTCACGATCAAACAACTCTTTTTGATCGAGTTAAGCCAGGCGCGAGATTTATACGGCTCTAAAGAAATGGTCTCGAGACCGTTGCTCGAGAGACGCTACATAGAAAAACACGCGCGCTCGACGCGGCTTTGTCTCCACGAATTCACGTGTCGACGAAGCGTTGTCAACACACGAGACAAGGTGAGCGTCGAGCGACAATAATACAGGGAAATCAGCTGACGACTTCTCATGCTGTGTCAGCTGAGTTACTTGCGAGCGAGAAAATAACAGCTGACTTCCCGGTTTTAAAACGAAACTAGATAACAGAAGGGGAGAGGGTCATCGTTCGGATCCTTCTAGAATCTTCGGAGCCTGGGGGGTATAAAGAGGAGAACACCGGACCGGTCCGGGCTTCCTTCTTTGGCTAGTATCGAGAACGGTAGCATCGAGTTTCGTCAATCGCGCTAGGGTTGAGAATTTCGCTGTACATTCGTTGTAGATATTCTTAAATATAAACGTGCAGAGTGCTGTGAGGCTTTAAGAGATTTGGTTTGATTCGAGACCGCTAATCCTCAATTTCCTTTCTTCACGCGTGGCTTTCTCTTTCGCGGACAATGTATGTTAACAGAGGAGTGTACAGTGACGAGACAATGATTCTTAATGGAGTATGCGGTTTGTGTACCTTGGGAAGACCGTTTGCTCTCGGTAATACACCATCTCCTGAATATAACATTAGGTATTATTTTTAGGAAATAAAATCTCTTTCTCTTTACTGCTCCTTACTAAATAATAGAAAGTTAAATCATAGCTCACAATGTTGATATAAATCAATACGAAATGATAATGACCAATGCGTTCTAAACAGAATGGTCCTAGCAGTTTCGGCTTAACAATTTTATTTTTATTCGCCATTTCCAATTATTTATAAAAATTGTTTTAAAACTTAAGAAATATGTTATTAACGCCAAATATGAACATTACCAAATATGAACATATTTGGCGTTAATTTCTATAATTATAAATATCATTTTTATACAGGACACATAAAAATTCATCAATTTTCATTCTGCGAAATAATTATGGTCTTTGGAAAATTGTGTTCTAACAATTATATTTTTTACGTAAAGTAAAATTCATGAGCTTCGTATTTTGGAATGTTAAAAATCTCTGAGAAGAATGTTAAAAATAATGTTAAAAATAATGTAAACTCATCTTTTTTTTGTTGAAATTTATAAGATTTTGCTTTCACTTTTTACTAAATATCTTTAGTTCAATAAACGTTACAATTCTCACTTGCTTAATTATAATTAGGGTAATTATTTAGATTACGACACCCACCTCTAATAACCTCGGGCTTGACATATATTATAGAGGTCACCCTCTTGAGTGACCTGCAAAAGATTTTAACCTGCGGACGTTGTGTGTTAAAAAGTTATTTAAAAAACAATGTCGACCATATATGTAATTTTCAGACACAAATATTAAAAATTTTGAAAAATGTTTTAAACAAAAGTTGTAGATCTCTTCAAAATATACATTTTATGTCCTATTCATTTTTACTATACGAGTGACAGTTTTCGATAAAAATGATGGACTCTAAATCTTATATCTGTCCTCTCATCTAAGCATGTGCTTTGTAGTACATATACGATTCCACATGGGTTTGCGACTTTCCACGTGAAGCGAGATCCACTCCACACCTCGGACATAGTTTGGGTAGGGTTATATTTTAACGAGGTGAAGCCCCCCGTAGGGGGGCGGAACATACTGTCTCCACGCATGTACTTCCGCCGTTGTACTGTTCCACATGGGTTTGCGACTTTCCACGTGAAGCGAGATCCACCCCACACCTCGGACATAGTTTGAGTAGGGTTATATTTTAACGAGGTGGAGCCCCTCCGCAGGGGGGGCGGAACATATTGTCTCTACGCATGTACTTCCGCCGTTGTACTGTTCC